ATGCTAGACAGAACCCCAGACTCGTCCAGGAGAAGCATCATGCTTGGATGCTTCAACAGAGTCATATGGTTGCGCCTGATCTGCTTGATCCTAGACCCACCAGATTGTCAAGCTCATCACTGATCTGGCCTCCTTAAGACGCTTTCCATGGTTCCTGGCATTCCCAGTCACAGCTGCTATGGGCTCCCCACTGAAATTCCAAATTCTAGCCAAAAGGGCATGAAAATCATATGTCCAGAATGGCTCTTTGGTTGCAATAAGTAATGCATGCTGTGAAGGCATTTAAAGGAAGCCAGTGTCCGCCGCCCTTCAGTCCAGCGGCTTCTCCAACAGCAACCTGCCTCTGCTCTTTGTGATGCGTTTCTGTGGAAACTGACGGGTCCTCGGCAGCTTGGCGAGGTTGCCGTGGAAACTCAAACATCAGTATCGCCCTCGAGAGCGGCGCTACATTTTAACAGAGTGTGGCCATCGGGATCGCAGTGCGGAAACATGTCTGCTGGCTCCTCTCCCGTGCGACTTGAAGCAAACAGATCTTTCAGATTTCCTTAGAGTGCCCCGATTTTGGGATCTGGTTTTCCTTCGAGTCCGTAAGGCCTTCTCTCAGAAGCCTACATACCGGAAACTTCCATCCACCTGGGTTCTAGGGAATCATATTTTATTTTACCCCCTGCTTTGCCATGTATGAAATCAGTAGGAATTATTTCCGAACTGCTGGATACTTCTGCGAATCTTCAGTCAGGGTGATACATTTTTCATGTGGGTTAAATATCATTGTGCTGCAGTAAATAATAACTAAAGAAGTAAAAAAATCTCTCATCCAAAATGTTTCCAACCATCTCACTTATTCGTTTGGAATAAATTCTGACTGTAATTAGCAATATTCTTAAAATCTAGTGGCAGTTCAGCAAGAAAGCAGCTATTTTGTGTCTTCGGTCACATGTTTTCCCTCTTGACCTGAACCAGTGTTTCCCAATCTGGTTCTTGGGTATCTACAGACAGTCCACATTTCTGCTCCCTCCCAGCTGGGTGGGAAACTTGGAGGGAGCAAAAACATGGACTGACTGTGGGTCCCCGAGGACCGGACTAGGAAACACTGACTTAAAGAATCAAAATCTTTTCTTTAGCAGCAGCCTCCCTCAACAACAGAGGTGGCCAATCGTATCCGCAAAGTGTGTATGCAGGTTTATGGGGTAACCTGTAGGTCAGCTGCTCAAACCCAGGTGTGAGGACTCTTCAGCCAATCAGTCCTCTAATTAGTAATCAAATCAGGGAGTTGCAGCGAAAATAAGCATACACACCGGCCCTTTCCGGATAAGATTGGCCACCCCTGCTCTACAATTATACATGCACCCTGTAGTCCTGTTATTGAGAATTTATTAACTCGTGATTTATTACGTAAAAATAACACCGTAAGTCATTTCTAAGCGAATGTGACAAAAGCATGTTTATTAGCCAATAACCACAAGAGGGTGCTGTTAGGATGTGAGTATAGTGTCCGGCTGGGGGTCCAGCAGAACATGTCATGTGCACCCCCCTAATCACGGCAGGGTCAACCAACGGTGGATGATCCGTTGCCCTTTCTCACATCATCCATCCACTGGCTGATCGGACCGAATGCCATATCAACAAGGAGCCATCTGTTAGCTATTTAAAGACAATGCATCATCTCGCGTGCATCCCTGGTAAAGATTCACACCCTGTAATTACAAGCCAAGGCCATCCAATTTTATCTGAATCCACAGTGAAGGTGCCATCCATCTTGGAACAAGGGGAGGGATAAGGATGTATGATTGTAATAAAACTATGTCCTTCATAAGTTAATTATCCTTAAGGGAGGGGCTTCCCGTATTTTCCACACAACGGCACAGGCAGAAGACAATTTCCCTCGGTATTCACAAATTACAGCGTTCGTATTTCATAATACATAAATGTAATGTTATAGAAGTCACTCTCTTTGGTACCAAAACGAATAAATTGTCGCAGAATATTTATCAGGCACAGAATGCACAGGTTACCCATCACGCCTGATAAAAGTCCGCTTCCAGCAGGCTCGTCTCTGGGCCATGTGTTCTCTAGTAGGGTGCTGAATGCTTGCTTTCTTACTGACAACTCCCACTGCCTGGGTTTTTAACACTGTAATTGCCTCCTAAATTGGCATCAGGTTGTTCTGTGATTGGCAGAGACACCTTACTGGGTCCCTGTGTGTGTCCCTGGCTTGTCCCATATCATGTTGGCACAAGGGAGGCCTTGCTAAACTCCTGCTGGACCGAAAGCTGAATCTGAGCCATTAGGTTAGCCAACAAATCAGAGCTCTTGATGGGTTTGGGGTGGTGTGTGGCACAGCAGGTTAGCACTCTGTTTGTAATCAGAAGGATGGCAGTTCCAATCCCAGGGTCGGCGGTGTTGGGGCCTGGAGCAAAGCCATTAACCCTAATTACTCCACAGTCTGTTTGACCCTGCTTTCCCAAAACAATGGATAGAAGTGTCCACTATATCTTATACATATGGAAGCAAAATAGGCAGACTTCCAGCCAGGCCAACCCTGTTGCAGCTGTCCCTCTTGGTGTTTGGAGTGCCCCCCCCCCCAAACAGTCTTGGCACAAGGGGGCACGCTGCAATTTCACACTTGATCGATGGTTCACCCTGGCCAAGGTTAATGGATTCTATAAAGCAGACAGTTTCACAGCAGGGTCTTCTTGCTGATTGGCCAAAGTGGTTTTCCAACTGTGCATTTAATAACAATATTACCGCAGCTAAACCTACCTTTATTTCACCCATAAATAATACAAAAAATATATTTCTATCTGTTTAATATGTAGAACAGCAATTTTCAGCTGGTATAGTGACAGGCCCCACATTATTCCTCAATCATTGAGTCACAACCCTAGGATTTTTCTTTCTTTCTTTCTTTCTTTCTTTCTTTCTTTCTTTCTATCTATCTATCTACAGTGTATCTATCTGTCTGTCTGTTTGATTGATTAGCCAAAAATGGGTGGTGGGGGGTGCTGCCAGTTAAAAAAAAATTCTGGGGTGACGTTGTACATCACATCACATCACATCACATCATTTGCAACCACAGAAGTTTGACATTACAAAAAAAATTCCAAATCAATTTTTTAAAATACACAATCCATGACCCAGTGAAAATGGTTGTCTGACCCACTTTTGAGAACCATTGATCTATTAGAGTGATACTTAAATTAAAATATCATAAATAAAATGTTCTCTTAATATTGCTTTAAACTGAGTTCGCCGCATTGGAAGATTATTCATTTTACGAGTGACCATATTTATGATACATTTCATTAGTATGACGCCTACTGTCTCATGGGGGCCAGGAGCAGAATGCTGATTTCTGTGACCCATCCTTGGAGGAGGGGTCTTCTGCGGATCCAGCCGAGGCTGGAGGCTATTTTGGGGGCAGTGATGGCTGGTCAGACACATATTCCCGCACCAACAGAGAATGGAGGTGGTCACACATGGTTTGAGGACCCCGGCTCCTGAACTCGGGGTCATGTCAGGCCCAGCTCCAGGATGGGCCTGATCTACCCAATCATAACCCTGGCCCATCAAATTATAAGGTTGGCCCACCCCCTCGTCAGCTTGGTCCACCCCCTGGCCCCCTGAGGTAATCCTGCACCCACTCAAAATATCCAAGCTGGAGTTGGGCCTGTGTGATGTTCTCCATCCTCTCTTAGAATGCCCCCTCCCAGAGACACCTAAGCAGATCATGTAGTAGCAGCTTTCAGCTCCCCCCCCCCCCCCACATTCACAGACAGCATGTCCCACAGCCTTTCCAATTCACAGGCGGGCAGAAGGCGCGGGTGACACCGCGGGGACGGAAGACAGCCACCCGGGAAAGGTGGCGCTAACGTTTTTCCAGGAGTGGTGGAGGCTCGGCCCTGCAGAGCTTTGCCGTCACGCCTGGCTCACTCTCCAGCTGCGTCTGGGGGTGTAAAGATCCGTTAACTTGGCCACATGGACAGATGGTGGCACTTGGCAGCCAAGAGCCGTCAGACCGGTCCTCATCCAGACACGCCTATGAGTGGCGTCCCCTCATGGGAAGGTGGCAAATAACTGAACTCTAAAAGGCACCGGTGTGGATGTGGTTTACATCCCTGTCATTGACTCAGCAGGGATATTCTACTGAGCAGCGTTCACATGAACCGCTCTAGTAAACCTATTCCTGTACCCAACCCTACTGTCAAACCAAACCTTTACCCTAGCCCTAAACCTAACCCTAACCTCACCTCTATCCCCACCCCTAATATCACCCCTAACCCTAACCCTAACTAAATCTCAAACCCTGGCTCTAATAATGTCCCTAACCCTACTGTCAGCCCAATCCCTTATGAAGGGCTGGATTGGAATAAAATATTAGCCATGAGCTTTGGGGTCTCACGTGGCCCTACGATAAATTTTTAAGAGCTCCACAACAATACATTTTACCAGCCCTCAGAACCATTGGCCCACCGTGGGAAATTGGCCGGTATGCCAGATGGCCAGTCCAGCCCTGTCCTAATGCCAACCCTAACCCTAACCCTAACCATAATGCCAACAATAATCCTAGTCCTAATCCAGATGCCCTCCCCTCTCACCATAATGACAACCCAATTCCTCACTCCTAACTTAAGTCCAATTCCAATCCTCACCCTACACATTACCTATTTATCTCTGCATCTTAACGTGCATCCTAGTCCCAACCTTGACTCTACACTTAAAGGTAGCCCTACTACTGAACAACTGAAGTCAGGTGCTGTCGTGCACCAGAGCTCCAACGATAATATGGAAAGACAACCGTTGTCTTTCGCCATCTAGTGACTTAACATGCATTATGGAACCAGGCATAAACTGACAGCTGAAACAGGACTTCTGTGTCCTGTCATTGCCTGGCATCTTTTCTCGGGATTCGCCGATGCCAGGAACTCTGCGGAATAAACAATGCCTTTGGCTGTAAGCCTTTCAAATCGAAGCCTGTTTCGTTTTTTTTTTCCCCGCAGAGCTTCCAGCTCCCGTCTGCTCACCAGGCGTCTGCTACAGCTCCAGTTCCTCAGCGGTAAATATTTACAGGCTCGAAAGCACTGCCCCCATTCCTTACACCTGTCCGCACTAGACTGCTCCTCTCGACGTCGTTCATCTGGGAGGGACGGCAAGACGGTTCAGCGTGAGGCTGAAACAGCAAAGAGATGAGGAAAGGAAATCTCGCTTTTGCCGTGTTTTGCCAAGAGCTCCTCATTAAGTTAATGTTCTGCCAAACAAGGTTCCACATAGAACAATAATAGCTAAATAATTACAGCCAAAATCATAAACTCAAATATCCAATTTCGGTGTAGAATGTAACATTTCCGTGTGAGAAAACAAATGTGTTTTTCACATAACAGAGGGAATATTGTATTCAGTTTCCGATGTATTGTACAGATGCATAAACTACTCCTTTCATTCTCTGACCTGTTCATTCCTTTTTCACTCTTTGCCTCTTCAGTCCAGTTCTCTCATGCCCCGTGGCGTCTTTCTCGCCATCAGAAAAGGTGGCCCCGTTTCGGCCTGGTTTTTTTCCCATCCTCAGCGTGAAAGAGTTCTGGTTTCACAGGGTAGTGTGTCACTTGCAAACTCCACTCATGATGTGCTTTCCCAAATCCTCAGCTGTTTATATACTTGGGATGGGTTACACTGACCAGGAAATATCACTCAGTGTATTACTGCTAAAAATGTTGTGAAGAGACAGGAATAGCCATTAAGCGCTGCATCGTCTCCAGAAAGTTTAATCTTATCTCGAGGTTTCATTTCCAGGTATGTGGCTTTCTTGCTTTGGCAATTGCACAACTTCTCAGCTGTTGTGAAACCTGCTTATGCACCATGCTGCTGTCTTGGCAGATTGATATTTCCTGTTGTTGCAAGCGCCCCCATCAGGCAATCAGTCTCATCAAGGTGCACAGTGAGTGAAAAGTCGACAGTGGCTGATTAGATGCTGACTTTTCCCTCAAGCTGACTTTTGCCATGAATTGAGCAAGGAATGGTCCAGTGACACCGGATGACTGCAGCTGGCTTCTGTTGCATGACAGATCCATTGAGGTTCTGACCTCCCAGAAGGGCAATCATGATGAACCCCGAAGCTCATGTAAAATACATTTCCTCTGAGCCGTACATCTACTTCTCTAATGGCTCAAACCTGGTGGTCAACAACAAAAGAAAGAATATTTCTTTGCCCTGCTTTTATTTTTGAATTTCTCTGCTTTGTTTCCCTTTCACATAAAATGTTTCCCTAATGGAATCTGAGTGATTTCAAAAAGAAATGGTAGCGTGATGCCATGGAAAGCCTACATCTGAGTTCAAAAGGAAATTGTGTCTAAAACTATCTTAGATTTCTTTTGATTGCCTATTGATTTTTGTGGAGCCAGGATGCTGCTTTACATGGTTGTTCAAATCAAAGGCACTCAAAAATTGGGGGTAGGAGGTGGTCAAAAAGCTTCTTTTCACACATCAATTGCTGTGAAATGTTTCCCAAATATTCTAGAACCAATTAAGCTAAAATGGATTGATCATTACCTGTTACAATCTCTGTCTGTAATGTTCTCTTAACTACCAAATAAAAAGCTTTGATGCAATTAAAGCATTACCCATCTGATTGTGTTTGGTTCTGATGAGTCATCTGGGATGTGTAACAGTATAATGTAAGAGCTCACTTTATTAGGCCATTGTATGCCATGGGAACTGGGTTTCCGGAAAGACCAAATAAATTCACAAGTTAATGGCTGAAAAGCTTCGACTAACTCAGTCTTTCTTCTCAACACATACTGTATGACAGATCAAGTTCATTATCGCCGATTGCCCACTGTGGGTATACGGTTTCCTCAAAATAACAATATCTGCAGGAAATTAGCTTCCTGATTCTTGAAACCTCTGTAATTCTCCATAATCCTGGAACACAAACCTCTATGGCTGTCAGTATCAATTTGCTACTAAGTAGCAAACAGGGACAACCAATGGATCCTGAATCAAGCTGTGTCAAAACAACAAATCCTTGACATTTGCAAGTTGTAAATATGTATGTCTGAAATTATTTAAAATGACGATGTGGCGGGAACATGATTTTTGTGCACGCCAGAAGGCGGAAGGGAAAGTGAGCAGAGACCGCAAGAAAAAGTGAAAATCAATTCACCATTTTAACACACTGGAGCACTGGGTGATGATATTCGGGGTGATGATGCATTCAGAGGCTCTGGTTCAGTACCTGCACACGGTGCCATTCTGGTTCAGCAGGGCCTAAAACCTGAGACATTTGTTACACCAAAAATACCCTTAAATTATGAGCCTACTGGTTTGTAATAGAAATCCTAACATTTCCTGCCCTGTCCTTTAATGCGTAGCTATAGTTGCAATACATTTTCCTTACTGCATCTCTTTGAATGATTCAGGCTCTCAGGATGGACCGTTATAGATCTTTAAAGGACAGAATAACATTGTATATCAAGTGTGTTGCTTCATTTCCATTTAATATTCCGCTTGTTCCCCTTTACTGCCTTTGTTAACATCACTGTTTCCCAATCCGGTCCTTGGGGACCTTCAGACAGTCCACGTTTCTGTTCTCTCCCAGCTCCAGAGCAAAAATGCGGACTGAAGGGCAGGCAGCTCGGAGGGGGCTAAAACATGGACCGGATTGGGACACTGCTGCACAGACAGGCTGTGACTGTGCCTGCTGTGGTCTTGCTCTCCATCGACACGATTCTCAGTTAGGATGCAGACAGCGTGGAGTTGGGGGGGGGGTCTCATATCTAATTGGTGACTGTACCAGGTCCTCCAATGAATGCCGATTAGCCAGATGCTATTAATGAATTTTTTTATTTCTGTTATTCAACATCTTCAGGAATGCCTCTTAGCTGCTTTGGTGGTGGGGAAAGCCTGGTACAAGCAAAGGAGAAAAGGCCCCACCCCTTTCTGTTTATCCATTGGACTTATCCTGTTGCGATAGACCAATGTGAACATTAACAAATCGATAGCGATTACGTTCCACTTTGGAACATTGCCTTGTTGCCATGACATCATTAAGTTCCATAGCATTAAAATCCCATGTGAGCCGTTAGCTGACCTCTGAAGCTTAACAAGAACTATAACCCACATTTATGGGAAGAGGCAGCTACGTCACTGGCCTTTGTAGCTGTGATGGACACGACAGAAGAATCCGCAGAACCCTTAAAGTGTAACATGGCCGAGCTCCAGGGGGAGATGACTGATACTTCACCATTTCACTCTGCAGTTTGTTTCTTAGCTCAGTCTGAATTTTTAAATGAAGTAAATAAAGGTGCTATTAGAGAGATCTGCGCATTAAGGGCTGCCAATCTTTTTGAAACAATTCTCTGTATTTAAACTGTTCTGGCATTTTGTTTTTATTTTGCATAATTGCAGTATAATTAAGCTCCATAAAAATCACATTAAGTGCGATACTTTGAGTTTCTGGGGGCTGCGTGAACATTTCTATTTTATGAGACGTTCAAATAGAGATGGACATCTTACTTTACTCTTTACGTCCTAACCCCTCTGTAATTACTCTGAGGTTATTATCTGTGATACTGTTCATGTCTCGTCTTAATGTATTCATCGCATTACACTATGAATGGAAAGGAAGATGACTTTATTTAAAGAAGATTGATAAAGCTTTTTTTCAAGAGACTCTTTAATTAGCTACATTCAACTCATCACCCCTGAGTTATAAATAAGAAATGTGGCTTTTATAGAGCGGTACAGTCCTCATTAAATCTGTCAGGTTGGTTCTGTTAGTTAGCAGGGGTGGTGAATGGGACTGGGGGGGTGGGGGGTGTCGTCGTACCTTGATCTGCGAGTCATCAGCAACAATCAGCCTCATGTGTCCATAGCTGGGGCTGTTAGCGGCTCGAGCTATGGGGCCTGACCATAATAATTTTGTGCTGGATTGTTCTTTTGCCTTCAGGGATGTTTATTCCAGTGTCACATACATGACTCAGGCATTTGACTCGGCACGTTGCTCATGGACTGTGACCTGTAACACGAAAGATGGGGGCTCTCTGGTACAACTAACCCTGCAGCGTGGTCAAGATTCCAAGATTAAAATGAGAAGAGAGCCATAAACGCAGATGCTATGTGGAAAAGTGCACTATTTAGATGCGACTTGACTGGCATCCCGTCCTCCAGTGTATCCTGCCTTGTGTTTTGTTCTTCCAAAAATAGACTCTATGCTCTATGCTCACCTTGACCCTGAACTGGGTGAATTATAGAAGATGGATGGATGGATGGATGGATGGATGGATGGACGGAAAATAGTGACTAATCACAGGTTTGATACCTATTAATTTGATATTCAGGACTGTAAATTCACAAGGTCTTGGGTGGTCCACCCAGGTACCTGCGTCAGATTTAGGATGATCAGGAAGTCATGAAGCATCCAATAAAGTGAGATAGATTGAAATGTCCCAACATGATTACCCAGAATTCCCTCTTAGTGAGGGACTGGCCACAGCCCATGCCAGTTTAGTTTAGTATATTGTTATTACAATACCAGTATTGGAGGTTTCAGTTGGTTTTAAAGTATCTTCCAACCAGACTAATGCTGCTTCTATAAATGTTCCTGCACTCTGGAAATGACCCCGAGTCACACAGCCACATGCACACGCGTGTCAGTCACTGAGCAGCATTGGACCGGCATGCCGTGCGACCCCGAGACAAACCGAACAGGAAGTCGAGAGCTAGAGGTCGGTCAATTAGGCGGCGCCGGGAGACTAAATCCGACATGGCGCCTAAGGATCTCCGCTGCGTGCAAAGCAATTGGCCATGTGGATGATTCTTCATGCTCCATTTGATACAAAGGAAAGGAAGTTCATCCACCCTCCTCCAACAAAAAGGGCAGGAATCTAGAGAAATCCGTCAGTTTATACGGACAGTGTACAAAGACCACAGCCTACAATTACCAGATGCGCTAATGCAGTCTTTCCCAGTGTGGTCCTCGGGGAACCACAGCCAGTCCATGGTAGGGAACTGGGAAGGAGCAAAAACTAGGACTGTCTGTGAATCACTGGGCTAATGCAATTATAACAGAAGTTCCCATTTAATATACTTACATGACTTGAAATATGAATCCATAGTTATCACTGGCTATGTGGGAATGAATGTAAATATGATAATGACATAATGACAGAGGTGGATAGTTCAGGTCCAGAAAGTAAAAGTCCAGACCAAGATTTTGTTTCAACCATCCACTTCAGGATAAAGAATCACAGTCAGAGAGTACTCAGATGGTCTATATACGCACTGCACCATGGCAGCCGGAGGAGGTGCAGTTTTAGTGTGATTTGTGTCCTTAGCCAGGCAAGCAGATTTAGAGAAGCAGCTCAGGTTCCTGAACTCCTCAGATTGCTGCACAAGCTGTTGCTGAAGATGGGTGGTCCATCAGCCAGTGATTTTTTTTTTTTGGCTCGCTTAGGTAATATATTTGTACAAACTGCTTGTGGTCTACAAGTAATTAAGGGCCACTGTTTTTAAAAGAGGGGGTCAGCAAAAGGTTAGTAAACATACTTGCTCTTCGACAGAGTAAGAGGAGAGATCCTGAGGTCTGCAGGGTAGGGAAAGTATTAAAGACCTGACTATGGGGTAGGCAGGGTCGATGATGACTGGGGCCAGCAGGCCAGCACTGGGAATGTAAGACAGCCGTCCCTCCAGATTCATCCGAGCTGCCATCCCTCAGCTCGCCTTTGCTCTTACGCTCGTCGTTCATTGAAATCGAGAATCGTCCTCCCAAAGATGTGTATCTCATAGCTGCTCCTTTGTTTACACTGTGTACCCCCCCGCGCACACACACACACACACACACTTATCACCTCAAAGTAACTTGAGCCGTGATGAGCCAGAGGCAGCGGCGGATGCGCTGTCTGGAAGAACAGGTGGCAGTGGGGCGGGGGGTGGGGGAGGGCAGATTAGCTCGAGCTGCTTAATCACAGCAGACTCTCTGTACAGCCTTGTTCTTTATGGCGAGAGAACTGCCATCTCTGTAATAATAGGCTGCAGCTCTGATATACTGGCTTATCGAATTTCTGGGGGCAAAAAAACAGACAATCTGTAACGGTGTATATTTGTGCCGAATTTGGAGCGAAGGAGATAATATGGCACAAAGCATCCCTCCTGTTGTGATTCACTGGAGACTGAAGCTGACTGCTGAATGAGTTCGGACAGAAAGAACCGCACCGTCAGACCCATTTCTAAAACACCGATAACAGAAATGCTGATGTCTTTAACAGGCTTCTCCTCTCGCACCTTTTTATCACTGCTCCTGCACACTGACTGAAAGGCCACGAGGTTGAATGAGGTCATATCTTCTTCGTCTTCTTCGTCTTCCTCCCCCTCCCTTTTGCAGGTTGCTTACTTCTGCAACATGTCAGCAGCGATAACCACACCAGCAGCTGGAGCATGTTTATCAGCAGGGACAGCGAGCCGTTAGCTATCCCGCTAGCAGCCTAGGGCCTTCCCCCTTGTTTCACAGCTTTTTGTGTGGTGTTCTCATTATCACAGGCACAGGCCCTGAACGTTTGCACAGGTACAGGCCTTGAACATTAGCA